AGGCAAGGAATACTCAGAGGTGGTTTTGCCAGTTCCTTCCTCTGAAATATAGCCTACAGCACCTGGTATTCAGTGACATTCTCTCATCCAAGAACAGATGGCATCTAGTGCTTTGAAGGCATTTAGTCTGGCAACCCCTAACAGCAGAGAAATGTTATAAATCCAGGGAAAAAGACACACATTTGCCCATCTAGTTTGGCCCTGATGTCCACAAAAATCTGTGCCACATTAAACCTGAGTTTCTCAGATACAGGTTGTTTTTGTGGCAAAAGGAAGTCAACGGGAAGTTGTTATGACAATGACAGTTTAGTCGTAGGCTTTCATGGCCAGCATCCATAGTTTTTTTGTGGCTTTTTCAGGCTTTGTGGCCATGTTCTAGAAGAGTTTCTTTCTGACGTTTCGTCAGCATCTGTGTCTGGCATCTTCAGAGGGGGAGGTTTTAAAGAAGATGCCAGCCACAGATGCTGGTGAAATGTCAGAAAGAAACTCTCATAGAATATGGCCACACAGGGAAGAAAGCCCATAAAAAACTAATGACAGTTTCCTTTGTCATTTCACTGAAGTTTTTATTTCCTTTGAAGTTCACACTTGAAAACATTACTCCTGTTCAGGTATGACTGGTTTTTAATAAGACGCTCCTAGAGTACTGCATCTCTACAAAAGGTAACTAATCTGGCAATTAAGCAACCAGCAATTGGAGGACCTAATGGCAGCGGTGATGGCTGTTTAGTTGCCTAACTAAGCTATCGGCTTCAATGCAGAGGGCATTTGGGCAAGAACTAACATTAATTGGAGGCTAAAAAGGGTGATATTGGCTTTTTGAATGAACTAAATTTAAGTTAATCCTGACAGCATGTCTTCTGTCTGTCATGTTAAGGGAGATATTCCTGAGCCTGCTCTTTCATTTAATAAGAATTTTAAAATTATAATAATTGCCATTTTGTTTCCCTCCGAGACATACGATTTCACTTTTCCCATCTTCCATAATATAACAAGAGGAAATGCATAATTAAGTAGCCACATTGTGCTGGATCTAAGCACAAAAGGAATAACCTACAGTTCAGGGTCTCTCAGATTATGTAACTCAACAGCAGCAAACAAACAATAGCAATAAGTACTGCTGCTGCTGCTACTTTCTTTTCCAGTTCATCTCATTTCTTGGTCCTTTTCTTATCTTCCTACCTTTTGTTAAATCACCTTTTGCCCAGGACATAGGGTGTATCCACACTACACAGTTATACAACCATATAAATATTTAATGTTAATTAAAAAGAAACATTCAGGAGATGAAAGTTATTAATAAGACAGTTGGGTTACTCATGGCAATGCAAGGATTGCTGCTTGCTGTTTCTGGAGTTTATCACACGGGGGAAATCCCATGCAGAAATCGGATTTAAAAGGTGGAGGAAACCCAAAAAGCAGGCAGATTTTCACACACATTGCTGTTAAAATGGGGTTAACCCGAATGGAAAGTATTCAGAAACTGCTTCTTTTTACTTTCGGGATTTTCCAAAAGTAAAAAGAAGCAGTTTCTGATTACTTTCCATTCGGGTTAACCCCATTTTAACAGCGACGTCGTCTGAAAATCTGCCCGCTTTTGTGGGTTTTTTTCAATTTAAAACCCCGGTTCTGCACAGGATTTCCCCCATGTGATAAACTCCTAAATCTCATGTTCTTGCTTTGGAGAGCGAACAGGGCAGGGTTTGGAAAAGTTATTTTATACACTATACTCCCCAGAATCTTCCACTGACCATGCTGGCTAGGGGATTCTGGGACTGATGGTACAAAACAGTAACTGTTCTAACAGATGGAACAAGGGCCTGGGTAATCCAGTGTCCTTTTTCCTCCAGGGGCCAACCAAACAGATATCTCTGGGAAGCCTAGAAACAAGATGGGAAGGCATTACACCTTTCTCATGGTTCCTTTCAAACAACTAGTATTAAGCAGCTTATGCCTCTGACCCTGAAGGTGGCAAAGAGTAAGAAGGAAGAAAATATGCAAAGGATGGGCAGGGCCAGAAATCAGTATATAACCCTTGCCTACATACAAACAGTGCTTTTGTGAGCTCTCATTTTACTGGTCTCTTGAGCAGTATACAGTGATTATGGCTGGGAGCAAAGCCCCAGAGGCACTGGGCTCCAAATCACTGCTTTCCTATCCATATTGTTAGATTGCATGGATTATTCGCCTTTGTGGCTGATCATATCCTGCTCAAAAGCATGAATGGACAAAGAACATTCATTATTAATATCCAGGTAACTAATATATTTTTGCATTTCTAATGTCTGGTATTTATAATGTGTGAGTACGAAGAGTTTAAAGTGTTAACAAGACACACATCTGGCATACAGGAAACAATTCGGGGATTTGGGAGGGTATTGTTATCTGGGAAGAAAATTAATTTTGTTTTTGACACAAGTCTTATTTTGGTTCAAACTAATTTGGGAATATTACTTTTTTATACATAATAAATGCATAGTGCTAAAGAACAGTGCGTATTTATTATCATTTAGCAGTTCTACTTCTTAAATGCAATCTAAAAATGCGTCATAGAGTTTTTAAAAGAAAAAATTAACAGCAGGTTTTTTCTGTATATTTTTAGAAGCATATCATGGGCTATTGTATTCTGAAATTGGTGTTGGATAGTAGTAGTTGAGGAATGAAGTAAAAACTGATTTCGGAATCAAACTCACTTATCCATAACCTCTGCAGCATAATTCTAAGGATTTATTCTGAAGGAAGCCCCATTTATTTCAATGTGATTAACTCCATAGCAAGTTTCCTTAATATTGTAACCACAATGGTTTAAAATGGCTTGCTGTCTCAAAGTTGCTGTAATCTTTTGTTATCTTGATCATAAAATTTTGTAGGAGCATATTTCTGTTTAACATGGCAAACTGAGAGAGAAGAAATATTTTTAATACACTTTTTGCTCTTCTTATTTTGTTGTTGTTGTGTGCCTTCAAATCATTTTTGACTTATGGCAACCCTAAGGGGAACCTATCATGGGGACAGGTTTCTTCAGAAGGGGGTTTGCCATTGCCATCCTCTGAGACAGAGAGAGTGTGACTTGCCCAAGGTCACCCAGTCAGTTTACATGTTGGAGCAGGAATTCGAACTCTGGTGTCCAACACTCAAATCATTACACAACACTGTCTTTTTTAAAGAGTAGCCAAATCTATCAGTGTTGCTTTCTCCCACAATTGAATTTTGTAAATTTTGTTTATTCTTGAATGTTGGTAAATCTGAAATGAAATTCTCACCCATAACCACCCTTTTTGCTAAGGATGCTCTCTGCTTTCAGGTGATTGTCCCTACTAATGCACTACCCCAGTTTTGTCTCCCCTCTCCCTACTTTGAGGTGGCCACTCTCTGCTAGATTTGTTATTATCTTTCAAGATTTTTGTCTCATCCCAAAACTTTATCAAAACTGGCCCCACTTGCAAAGCTGAATTTAAATATAAATAAATACTGGGTCCCAGGGTTGGTAGTGGGGATGAGACTATAGCATTGGAGGGAGCAAGCTTTACCCCTTCAGCCCTTGTCATGGTCTCAATCAGGACTGACTTCACCCATGGTTGCTCTTTACAAAGGAAGAAAAGTTTGCTAGGTGACAACTGGAACTTACTTATAGCTATAGCAAGTATATTTCTATACCACTTATCAGTGAACTAGCACTCCCTAAGTGGTTTACAATGTGTAAGCTAATTGCCCCCAATAAGCTGGGTATTCATTTTAAGGTAAATTTTTTACTGAACTACAAAATGATGGAAGGCTGAGTCAACCTTGGAACCCTCTAGGACTGAACTTGCAACATTGTGGCTGCAGGGCTGGCATTTAACCAGTGTGCCACCAGGGCTCCTTACTTCCCCCTGTGAGTTAGCAGGCACAAGAAGGAGAAGCAATTCTTGTCAGGCCCATGAAAGGCTCAAAGGGTTAAAGCCTCTCCTCCCACCATGGCATGATCTTGGGAGACTCACACCAGCTAGTTGGTGCCAAACTATGCGCCATCATGTCTCCCTTGGCCCTTGGAGTGAGTTGCTAGTTGCATTGCCCATGTGCAAGATTTAGCTTTCTCCTCTGGTTCTCCACCAGTCTGAGACTAATAGATTTATCTTGTCTCTAATGTGCATGCCTGAGCATGAACACTAAGATGCCATGGAGGGTACAGTCTGGCATGTCATACACTTGGAGAAGCAATTCTTGTCAGGCCCATGAAAGAGTTAAAGCCTCTCCTTCCACCGTGGCATGATCTTGAGAGACTCACACCAGCTAGTTGGTGCCAAACTATGTGCCATCATGTCTCCCTTGGCTCTTGGAGTAAGTTGCTAGTTGTGTTGCCCATCTGCAAGATTTAGCATGCCTGAGCATGAACACTAAGATGTCATGGAGGGGACAGTCTGGCATGTCACACACTTGTGAGCTGCTAAGTTGTATTTTGAACTACAACTAACATGTTGTAGAATTCCTTCTTCTCTTTCTCCTTCTTCTTTTTGCTTTTAACTCTTTGGTGTCAGGAGTGTTTCTTGCAAGATAGGCAAATAGCATGTACACAAAGAAGAGCTGAATTGTAAGCTCCAGAGTTGGTGATATAATGCTAGCACAGAAATCTTACACAGAGAAGAGACTACAGCGGTCAATTACACCCAGGGCTCCCTTTGAAGATGTGCTGCAAACTCTTCAGAATAGTTCAGAATACAGTTGTTTGGAATACAGTTCAGAATATATTAGTTCAGAATACAGTTGCTAGATTAATAACTAGGACCGGGATTATGATCATATCCTATAACACTGGTGCTTTGATGACTGAATTGACCCCACTCCATTTCTAAACTCAGGTTTTGATCTTTAAAGCTCTTTACTGCTTGGCATCACTGTACCTGAAAGACTGCTTACATCACATGAAACTCCCCATATACCACAAGGAGAGCATGGAAAAGTGGTTTTTGGGGGGACTACAAAGCCCAGAGCCATCCAGCAACACTGCCTAGAGAATTACTGTTGCTGTATCTTAGTGGCCTGAGTGTTGGACTATGACTCTGGAGATCAGAGTTCAATTCCCCACTCAGCCATGAAATCCACTTGGTGACTTTGGGAAAGTCACATGCTCTCAGCCTCAGGGGAATGCAATGGCAAATCTCCTCTGAAAAATCTTGCCAGGAGATCCCCATGAAAAAGTCACTTTGAGGGACCAAAGTGTCCAAACTTTCCAGACCCATTTAGCCAAGGATGGATACCACTTGTCTCAGCTAAAGCAGACTGAGGGTGAATCTACATCTAGAAATAATGCAGTTTGACAACACTTTAAGTGCAGTAGTGCCATCTTATGGAATCCTGGGATTTGTAGTTCTACAAGGTCTTTAATCTCTCTTCCAAAGAGTGCTGGTTTATCACAAAATTACAAATCCCAGGTTTCTGCAGGATAGAGCCATGGCAGTTAAAGTGGGGGCAAACTGCATTATTTCTACAATGTATATGTACCTAAGATGATGCATTTCTAGAATAGGTGCAATCAATGGAACTCACATTAAGTGTTGATTTACCAAATTCAAATTGATTCAATGGGTCTGCTATAGTTTACACTATGCCTTGATTTAGCACTAGATTTGCACACACAAATGTATTCAGTGAGTATGTGAAAACAGAAATCATTAGCTTGTTGTCTTGTTGTAAGCTGCCCTGAGAATATGTCTGAGAAGCAAGGTAAACATTCCTAGAACAATAAATCAAAAAAGTGCATGAAGCTTTTCTCATTGCTTTCTCCAGGCAAGGAAAAGATTCAATTACCTATTCGGTAATCTGTACTCCTGTTAAAAGCGGATGGATAGTTTTTTGTTTTTTGTTTTTTTAACGTGGCAATGCTGAGTCTGTCTGAACTGAAATTTGAATGGAAATCTGTCAGGCCCAAACTCAGAAAGAACAACAGATGCAAATAAGGAAAGTATTTTTGAGGACATTTCAGCAAGTGCATATTCTCTATCCTACAAGATTAACAGCATATTTTACACAGTGGTTTTTTTTTAAAACTTAGGCTGGCATCTTGTTTACTAATTACAATATTGTAAACCTGGCTTACAACATTGTAATTATTCACATATATGGTAGCTGCAGTAACCAACCCCCCCCCCCCCCATATCATTCACATATGAAGCACTGAGGGTGCATCTACACTACTGAAATAATGCAGTTTGACACCACTTTAACTGCACTGGCTCCATCCTACTGAATCCTGGGATTTGAGGTTTTGTAAGGCACCAAATTCATTGCCAGAGAAGGCCCTTGTAAAACTACAAATTTCAGAATTCCATAGGATGGAGCTACAGCACAAAGTGGTATCAAACTACATTCTTTCTACAGCATAGATGCACCCCAAGTCTAACAAATGAGGAACACATATACTCGTATGTGCACCTAAGTTTCAAGGCACCACTCTTGCCCTGGGATTGCTTCTCCCTCATCCTGAAGACCAGAGAAAAAGGGATGGCCCCTGAGATCTGGGAACTCTGAGACAAATTGCCTCTAAATGACAATAAAGTTTATCATGAATGCCTTTTGTACCTAACCTTCTCAATCTGTAACAAAATTTCTCCCATCAACCACAACTTCTCTAAGCTCTAAGATATATCACGGAGCAC